CCAGAAAGAAACACAGTCCTGCCTAAATCTTGATTTGGGGATGGAAAAACCCAAAGTAGAAGAACCAGCCAAGCAAACCCAAACCATTAACCCACAGAATGATGAGATGAAAAATCTGTGTCATTTCAAGCCATTAAGTTTGTGGCGATTTGCTACAGTAGCAGTATGCAACTAACACACTTTCCTCCATATTATATACTATTTAATAGTTCAAATCTCAGTGGGCATTAGAATCACCTGAAGGTCTTTGTAAAAATACATATGGGGTCATTCCCAGAGTTTTAAAATTGATGAGAGGGAAGGAAAAGCAGAGAGAATATAGCAAGTTTTTGCTTTTATCTCCCCACATGATATGGTCCCCCAAATTTATTAACATTAGCATCACCCAGAGAGTTCCTGCATGCCTGTACACAGGGGATTCCCATCCTCACATCCCTGAAGAAAACACTGTTTTCTGACCCTTTCTCACATTATTTTTATCTATCCTAAAACTTCAAATAACAAAATCAAATGGCGCATACTTTTGTGTAAAGCTTCTTTCATTCATGATGTTGTATAAGTAATCCATTCCTTTTTGTCACTGAATAATATTCTACTGAATGGATATTTCACAGCTTCTTAATCCATTCACCTGTTTGTGGACATCTGGGTTGCTTCCAGTTTGGTGCTCTGAGCAAAAGCTGCCATGATTATTCTTGTAGCATATGCTTTTGTTTCTCTTGAATCACTGGATCGTAGAGTAGGTATACCTTTATAAGAACATGCCAGACCATTCTCCAAAGTGTTTATATCATCTTAACAGTTTTCCAACCGAGTGAGAATATTTCAGCCTCCTACTTTTTTTCCTCTGGCCCCAAATGACTTTAATGTGTAGCCAGAGTTGAAAACTACTGAACTAGATTAAAAATTCTTTCAGGGAAAAATTCATGTCTTTTTTAAATTTTTTTTTATTTTTTGGAGGTGGAGTCTCTCTCTGTTACCCAGGCTGGAGTGCAGTGGTATCATATTGGCTCACTGCAACTTCCACCTCCTAGGTACAAGCAATTCTCCTGCCTCAGCCTCCCAAGTAGCTGGGATTACAGGTTATGTACCACCATGTCCAGCTAATTTTTGTACTTTTAATAGAGACAGAGTTTTACCATGTTGGCCAGCCTGGTCTTGGACTCATGAGCTCAGGTGATCCGCCTGCCTTGGCCTCCCAAAGTGCTGGGATTACAGATGTCAGCAACCGCGCCTGGCCAAAATTCATGTCTTATTCATCTTTGTTCCCCCCAATATATTTAGCAGAGCATTAACCAAAGCCAAAACTCAGGAATTAAGTTTTGTATTGATACAGCTTCTGACTTTTGTTAAACACAGCAAATCTATTAAGTATGGCTACTGTACCTAAACATTTAATATGTAATTTTGAGGAAAGCAGTTCATAATTTGTGTAGTTGTCCAATACCTGTTATTTACTAAACTGTGAGATAGACGATGGCATGACCTATATAATAAGAACTGCACCTCTAACCCAGCTATAGAGCCTGACATACAGCAGAGCCTTAATAAATAAAAGTGTGTTTTGGGAAGAAAAAAACCCTCCTTTCTCCTAAGGATTTTATTATAATTAAACCACTAGCACAAAAATCTGCACACTTGGAAAATCCTAGCTTATGGCTCTTAATATTCTGGGAAACAAACAACTATTTGAATACCTGATTATAGGAATAGCTCCCCACAAAAGATAAATTTACGTATATATTTACACAAATTAATAATTCTACATACGATATCAAGTTGTTCACATAGAATCACTGTCACTGTATTTTACAGAAAGCTGAAATGATTTCTTTAAACAGTATTTGTTGAATATCTGATCTGTCCTAAGAATTATACCAGGTATGAGGCACACTGTGACCAACAAGGGTATCTCTTGTCCTTAAGAATACTGGAAGGAAGAAGATCAAATGCAAGTGATAAGCAATAATACCATCTAATCAATATGTTCTGAAAATCTCTAATTTTTCAAATATATACAACAGACAGTCTGGGAAGCTGATGGGCAAAAAAATATATACATATATTTTTGTCTAAGTCTATACCATGTGACAAACAACCTGAAACACAAATAACCTTTCGAGATACTATTCTGAGGATACATATTTGTCTTTCATTTATGTTTCTGGGAGTGAAAGAAAGAGCATGGAAATGAGGTAAAAAGAATAACAATGTACATCACACACCCTGCCGGTCAGGGTGTGGGAGGTGAGGGGAGGGATAGCATTTGGAGACGTGCCTAATGTAGATGATGGATTGATGGGTGCAGCAAACCACCATGGCACGTGTATACCCGTGTAACAAAACTGTATATTCTGCACATGTATCCCAGAACTTAAAGTGTAATAAAAATAATAATAATAATAATAAAGATTAGGTAACCTTAAGGTGAAATGAGTTGCCCCCAGAAGCATGAATTAACTTCCCTTTGTAGTCTTTCACAAATGGCAATCATTTTCAAAGGAACGTGGTAGTTCATTTTTTCTGGTAAAAGGTGTGAAGGTATCAGGGTTCTTCTCAACAGACAGTCTGGGGAGAGGATGAGCAGAACTATAACAATGTGCGAACTCCCTTTGACTAGGTGGTATGTTGTTAAGATAAATTTTCATGTACCTTTATCATTCAGCAAATACTTCTTTGCAAGATCTGGATAATGTGGCTTCTGGTGTTTCTGAGAAAACAATGATTTAGAACAAAAACTATGCTACTATCTATTGAAAGTTTAAGGGAAGAGTAAATGTTAAAACATTAAAACAAGCAAATAAAATGCTTAAAATAACAATAATCCAATATTGACAGGGAACAGAGTTCAAGAATGGTTTTGGACAGAGAAATGAATTATCCTATATTAGTGAATTTTCTGATTGAAGCTAATTCCTTTAAATGCCAAAAAATCTTTATAAAATAGTTTTACTGGCAATCTTTCCAATCTATTTCACACTCCCTGTCTCCTTAATCAAACTAAGTAAACAAAATGTGACATTTTTGATGACTCATTAAGTACATCCATTACTTTGCTGTGCTGTAATGCAGCCATTCTGAGAGGCCACTGACTACACAGATTTGCTTGTCTCTCTTCAAAACAGCTCCAGCAGTTCCATTTGGAGACCTAGTGCCCTTTAAGGTTTCAACGTTTTCTTTTTACCTTATTAACAAATCACCTCTCGCTACTGTCTCTCTATCTGACGAACATCACTTCCTTGAACTCTATTCTTCTATGTCATGGCCACACTGAGAAAACAACTGTTTCTTTAAAATAATTTAAACTTTGGCCGGGTGTGGTGGCTGACGCCTATAATCCCAAAACTTTGGGATGCCAAAGTGGGTGGATCACATGAGGTTAGGAGTTCGAGCCCAGACTTATTAATATGGTGAAACCCCACCTCTACTAAAAATACAAAAATTAGCCAGGCATGGTGGTGGGTGCCTGTAATTCCAGCTACTCGGGAAGCTAAGACAGGACAATCACTTGAATCTGGGAGGAGAAGGTTGCAGTGAGCCAAGATCATGTCATTGCACTCCATCCTGAGTGACACAGTGAGACTCCATCTCAAAATAAATAAATAAATAATAATTTCAATTTAAAAAATTTATGTAATAACCTAAGTGTTGTGTTCTTTTAAATTTGTTTTATTAAAATTCATTGGATGTGGCTATTAACTTGTCCATGAAGAGCTGGCTGAGTGATGGTCAGCAGTGGGACTGTAAACACAGGTGAATACCAGTATATGATATCTATAGGCTCATTTGCTTATGAAATGCCAGGGAAGAGGATCAGGCCAAAAATTTCAAAGTAAAAACTAATTGTGGGTATTGTCAGAAACAGGATCTAAATAAAGGTCTGTGTAAAATTAGTGAGGTCAGTTATTAATACATGCACTCTGTAATTATTCTGGCTGTTCAGAGTTATTTTGATTTTTTTGCTTGTTTTCAACCTTTTGAGTCTTTTTCAAAAAACAATTGACCATTAGCTAAGTGAAGCATTACTATAACAGCAAATTGTTTTCCTTTATGGGATGTTTTGACTGTAGAGATATAAATGCTTTTAAAATAAAATGTTTCTGTGTATCCTTATTGGCTATGTAAATATAATGTCCAGGATAGAATATGTGTCATGATAGTTCCAATTATCCTTGCATTGCTGGTCTGCTCAAAGGAGTGCATCAATCCCAAGGAGCTCCACGACCTCTTTCTGATATATTATAAGCAAAAAGAGGGTGGTTTTTATTTACAATGTGACCAGTTACATTCATATCAATAATACATGTTCATGTTAGTGAGAGGTGCAGCAATTTTGGACTGTTACGACACTTTAAAGATGCTCCAAACAGGGCCAGGCAGAGTGGCTCAAGCCTGTAATCCCAGCACTTTGGGAGGCCAAGGCGGGCACATCACTTGAGGCCAGGAGTTCAAGATCAGCCTGGCCAAGGTAGTCAAATTGTGTTCCTACTAAAAATACAAAAGTTAGCCAGGCATGGTGTCAGGCACCTGTAATCTCAGCTACTCAGGAGGCTGAAACAGAAGAATCACTTGAGCATGGGAGGTGGAGGCTGCAGTGAGCCAAGATAATGCCACTGTACTCCAGCCTGGGACACAGAGTAAGACCCTATCTCAAAATAAATAAAATAAAAATAAAAATGCTTAAAACATACAAACATTCAAATGTCTATGGATCCATCTGAATAGGAAATTCAGTAGCACTTCTTCATGATTAAATTGAAAATAAAATCTATCTGGGAATCATTAGTACTCGACGACAGTACCCTTAAGGATCACAACTACTACCACTCAAACTTTTTTTCCTTTTTACTTTTTTGGGGTTAAAAATCTGTTTGTACTCTTAAGCAGCATCTGTTCTGTTAGAACATTCTAACAGACTCCTTTTTGTTTTGTTTTTTTTTTTAAACCATGAACATGACTTGTGGATCTTCAGTTATTTCAATGTATTACCCTCATTATCATCACCATTTTTCATTCATGGTCTGAACCACACCAAAAGCAGCATCATTACTCTGCCCAACATGAGCACGTGACTGAAAGCAAAAGCAGGCTGCCAGACCTCCACGGGGAGAGCAGAAGTGGAAACATGCCACGAACCTTTCATCACATAACTCGGCTTGATTTACTTTACTGAAAAAAGCAGCAATATTCTGTGTTTTAAGCCAGAACCTTTACAGTTTTTCTCTTAAAAAGCTTGCAAACCTAGCTTTTCTCTTAAAAGGCTCTCCGACTTACACCAGGATAGGCATCCAAGCCCTTTTCCTCCATAGATACTGTTGCTACCAGGTTTCCATGACCTTCTCTTGGAAAGAGCTCACCTACTCTAGGCAACAGTTGATGCTCTTTTTTTAGCTACACTTAAATACCACCCATAAGTTCCTATTTTCAAATACATACTCCGAATATAACTCAGATCAAGTATTTCTGAGGATTCACTTCAGGCTTTTCATTTATAAAAAGTTCAGACCTTTTTCCTGACTGAGGTCTGCTTCTTCCTCTCATATAGTCCTTTGGGAATAATCTTTAGAAAATGCTACAATGACAAAAACAATTTTCTTGGATTTAAATCTGAATATTCTCTGGCTTCATTATTAAGTATATGCTTCTTTGTCTAAACCAGTAAATACAATGTGAGAGTTAAACTTTAAGAAATGTGATTTGGATTTACAAAGAAAAAAAGAGGTTAAGAAAATGCCCAGGCTGGGTGAAGTTGTCCATGCCTATAATCGCAGCATTTTGGGAGGCCAAGGTGGGCGTATCACCTGAGGTCGGAAGTTCAAGACCAACCTGACCAACATAGAGAAACCAAGTCTCTAATAAAAATACAAAATTAGCCAGGCATAGTGTCACATGCCTGTAATCCCACCTACTCAGGAGGCTGAGGCAGGAAAATCGTCTCAACCTGGGAGGCAGAGGTTGTGGTGAGTTGAGATCTTGCCATTGCACTTCAGCCTGGGCAACAAGAGCAAAACTCTGTCTCGGGGTGGGGCGGGGGGAAAGAAAGTAAGAAAAAGAAAATGCGCAGCACTTAGACTGAAATGATCTTTACAAGATCACCCTGTGAAGTTTTTTCAACTTCTTTTTCACCACATAATATTTTGCTCAGAAGACATCAACTGAGGAAGTTAGAACATGACAGAAAAACAGAAAAGCTTCTGGACCAGAAGGGGAGCGGTGACAGGGAAGTATGAACACTGGACACAGGCTCCAAGAGCCTAAACCGAAAACCTGAAAACTATGGGCACAGGTCAGATATCTTATTTTACAAATGAGGAAACTCAGGCACAAAGTGAAGTGATCATCCAGAGGTGCCATCGCTAGCCACTAGCAGGCTTAGGGCCCAGTGGCTTCTATAACCCAGTCAGAAGTAGTGTATTCCACACAGGCACAATGCTAGCCACTTAACACACCTTATCGTATTTAATTCTCCCAACCGCTCTTGGAAGAAGGTATTTTTATCCCATGCCATACCCGAGAAAACTGGAAAGGATTAAGTTGCCTGGTCAAGGTAAGATATTGGGATTACTTTCCAGATCTGTGACTACTCATTTCATTCTGCCACACAGCCTTCCATGACATTCAACCTTGCAGGTCAAACAAACATTAACTGGGGTCTGGGCACAGTGGTTCATGCCTGTAATCCCAGCACTTTGGGAGGCCGAGGCCAATGGATCATTTGAGGTCAGGAGTTCGAGACCAGCCTGGCCAACACGGTAAAACCTTGTCTCTACTAAAAATACAAAAAAAAAATAGCTGGGCGTGGTGGCACACTCCTGTAATCCCAGCTACTTGGGAGGCCTAGGCAGGAGAATTGCTTGAACCCGGGAGGTAGAGGATGCAGTGAGCTGAGATTGTGCCATTGCACTCCAGCCTGGGCAACAGAGCCAGACTCTGTCTCAAAACAAACAAACGACAAAACATTAACTAGGAAGAGAAAATTCAGGTTCTACTTTTTGTTTCTCTCCTACTTCATTCAGGTAATGGACAAAAGGGAATCAGGAAACCAGTCTAGCAACAGAATCTCTAACAGTAAGCTAAAAACAATTCAATTCTTTTTTTTTTTTTTTTTTTTTTTTTTTTTTTGAGACGGAGTTTCGCTCTTGTTACCCAGGCTGGAGTGCAATGGCGTGATCTCGGCTCACCGCAACCTCCGCCTCCTGGGCTCAGGCAATTCTCCTGCCTCAGCCTCCTAAGTAGCTGGGATTACAGGCACGCGCCACCATGCCCAGCTAGTTTTTTGTATTTTTTTTTAGTAGAGATGGGGTTTCACCATGTTGACCAGGATGGTCTCGATCTCTCTACCTCGTGATCCACCCACCTCGGCCTCCCAAAGTGCTGGGATTACAGGCTTGAGCCACCGCGCCCGGCCAACAATTCAATTCTTAACATATTTCCTGCAATACTGTCACCACCAGCATCCGAGCCACCACTCTTCTCACGTGGACAACTGCAATTTTACTATCTTTCCAATTCCACTTTCCTAAACAATTCTCCAAACATCCAGAGTCAACATAGGATCATGTTACTTGCCAGCTTTTAATTCTTCAAAATAATTCCCGTTGTCTTTTTCTTAAAACATCGGTGTTTTTAATACTGCTATATAGTTATATCTGAAATGTTGATCATTACATTATACTCAATATTTTTAAAAAATGACCAAGAATAGTAAAATTTCATTAAGTCAATTTTTATATGATGCCTTAAACCTCTGGCTGAATAGAAAAACTACCCCATTTTTTTTTTTTTAGAGTGGACCTATTCATTATTTTTATCATTGAAAGTTTTACTGAGGAAATTACAAATTCACAGACAGTTGTAAGAAAAGAATTGAGTCCTGGCGCCATTTCCCAGTCTCCTCCAATGGTAACATCTACAAAACTATAGTATGATAGCACAAACTAGAATGCTGACATTAATAAAACCTAGTCTTATTCTGATGTTTTCAATTATGCTTGTACTCAGTGATAAGCAGAAAGTAAATATGAGAGATGAGACAACAACAATGGGGATAGGAGGACAAAGTAGGGAAAAAAGACTTCATGTTGCTTAGGTTAAGCCTTCTGGTAGAAAATATTAAAAAGTAGGGCAACTGTCAGTGTTAAATTTCCAGTCTTCTCCCTGGCTGAAAGGGGTAGATGGAAAGTGGACTGGCTCAGTTTTGCTCTTTTGTTTGTTTGTTTAAAAAAGAAGAATTATTACAGCTCTTGCTGTCACTCTGTGTAAACAGATCCTTTTTGGTGTTTGAACTTACAAAAAGTTGCTTATTTCTAGATTTTCAATGGCTGATTCATTTGTTGTTGTTTATCCTTATATATAGCTGTAACTGATTAAAAACCCTAATGGTTACAAAGCTGAGAGCATAATTTTATACTTCCTAATTATGTTTCTTCCTTGTCCAAAAAGATGCATTAATCTTAATTTAAAATGTGTTTTATCTTTGCTGACCTTTTGAGTCTGTTCAAATGCTACCTTCTTGGCTAATTTCTCCATCATTTTTACAAATTATTTTTTCATAAGAAAACCAAATGAGAAGATTATGTTTAAAACAAAATATATAATCCTTTCAGCTGACAAGATAGGTTAAGGGCTGGATGAAGGTATCCTACATATTCTTGGAAACTTCTCCTAAGAGAATCTTGCCTAAATTCTGTCCTTTGAGAAAGGAAGCGAAAACAAATGTATTTGAATAAGAACTTTTATTGGGAGTCTAACCGATAGACTTCATAACAATTTAATTCACTGTTTTTTATCATTCCATTCATGGAATGAAGATTGTGAATCCTGGTAGGCCAAGCATACTGACTTATGTCTTTTCAATTTAATTAACCAATTACACACACACACACACAGATAGACTCTTCAGCATTAACACTTTTGGTCTTCCCTTAAAGGACAACATGATAATTTCAAAGTTCCTAAACTCCAAGTAAAGAAATTTCTATAAAAATATAAAAAATTTAAAGAATATTCTAATGTCAAACATCTAATAGTAAGCAATAATCTGTCATATTGATTGGTCTCTGTAAGATTTATTTCCAGACTTTTAAAAATGATTTCCAGTAACACTGCCTTGTGACTAGAATGATTCTTATAGCTACTTCCATATTTAAATACATTCAAGGTATGTTTTTAAAAATTCTGCAAGTTGTGTTCAGTTTTATCACAAATACTTAGTTACTTCACAAATATTTGGAACTTTCCCTTTGTTGTTTCTGTTCTCTCCGTCAACAAGTTGATATAAAAACTCTTAAAGGAGAGACTGTTTCCACCAATTTCTTTCTACTCTCCCTCGGTATTTATTGAATTTAACTGCTACTCACAAAATTAAAGATCTAACTATAACTGGAAAAAAAATACTAAGGAGAGAAGTATCTGAGCATACTTTCCTATTGCCTATCTAATGACAATAGGAAAGTGGGACAGAAAACAATTGGGTTCATGTCCTGTCAAAATCTACAGTCTAGATGTCTCTTCAGAATGAAATGATTGAACAGCCAACAACTGACCTTCCACCCTACATGTTCCTAGGCCATTTTCCAGGATCTCTTTGTCTTTCATTTCTGTTTCTTCCCTTCTTTCATGTAAATACATTTTCAAATGGACATTTCATCTCTAAATATATAAATACCTGGCAGCCATCACCGAAAGGCTCTGTGTCTTTTCTGTATATAATAAGAAATGAAGAATTAACAACCATCAGAGTTAGAAATGCAAAGCAGATTGAATAGAAGATACAAATGCAGCTTCTCTGTTAAAATCAAGAACACAGGTTTTCTATGAAACTCAGAAGAAATAAAATTCAGGGAACAAAAAGGCAGAGGAACAAGACACTGTATTTTGACACAAGCTAGAGGAACATTCAAGAAAATCCTTATTTTTAAATGTTTTAATTGACAAATGAAAACTATATATATTTATGGTATACAATGTAATGTTTTGATTATACATATATATAGTATAATGATTAAATAAAGCTAATTAACATATTTTTCACCTCACATACTGGTTTGTGATGAGAACATTTAAAATCTATTCTCCTAGTAATTTTAAAATAAGCAACATGATATTATTAACTATAGTCACCATGCTACACAACAAGACATTCAGAATTTATTTAAATCATCTAAAGGAAATTGTACCCTTTGATCCA